GTTTAATTAAAAAAAAAAAAAAAGAATCATGGGATAAAAAGTGGGGTAAGACAGGAATTCGGAGTTTCTGTGGCGAGGAGAGAAATGGGTAGCTGGCTGTCCCTCAGTCATCGCACACCTGAGGGCCCCTCGGAGTTGACACTGGGCCAGCTCTGCGGCCTGTCCCAGGCTGGCCCCGCATTTCCACGGTGAGCCAGCGCGATGAACTTCTAGCAGTGCCCGGGCCACCTGAATCCTGAACAGCTAAGTCCTTTGTTATTTTCTTCCTTCAGTAATTAATATAGTGATATCAAAGCTGTGTGCAGTTAGGATTAACTTTATGCTACCTTAAAATGTGCTGCATCTGAGACTGGATCTAACAGGGAAAAGGACTCAGGGCATGGGATCAAGCCTTTTAAAATACAGTGGCATTTCTGTGTTTCGGGGGCATACAGACGTCTAAGGCCACCCAGTCCCGTGTTGCTGGGAGACCTTGGAGGAGGAGAGAGGGTGGAAGGAGGAGGTTTTGGCTCCTGAGCTGATTTTATTTCTCCCTATTGAGATTTCTCTATGTCCTCTACCACGAGCCCTGCTCAGAAGTTGGGGTTGGGGAGCTGCCGTCTGCTGCTGGTCCCTCTTCACCACCATCTGTGTAGGAGGTGCAAAGCTGGCCTGTGCTGAGGGTCCCTGCCCTTGCTGTGACCCGTTGGGAGCTGTGTGCCTGCCTGGCCCACCGCCACCCCCACATCTCCAGGACCCCACTCATCTCCTTGCCTCAGGGCCTGTGAGCCTGCAGGGCAGGCGGGGAGCAGGCCCTGGCTGGCTGTGCTGTGACCCCGAAGCCCAGGACCAGGCGGCAGATTTGACGACCACAGAGACGGTTTGATGACAGGCACAGCTGGGGTGTGTCTTCCTGCCTTTTTTTCAGAATCAATATTTTCTTTTCTTCTCCCCCTCCTGAACCCGGTGTTGATGAGTGCTTAGATGCTGGTGCAAATCCAGCAGAGATAGAAGTGGAAATTTGTATTTTTGTTTGACACAAATGTAACCCCCACCCCCAGTGTTAATCAGTGGACTCTAATTAGCACCTGTGAAAAATAATAATGGATAGGTAAGGAAAAGTTGAATTTGGCTAGGCTTTGAGATCCATTGCTTTGAAATTAGACAGGAGAATTAACTGTGGTACAGCAGTGTCCGCAGTTTCAGTCTGTCTCTGAAATGGGTCCAGATGTGGTCCCTTGGAAGTCTCTGTGTACATCCTGGTGACTTGGGAGGAGCCACTCGTGTAAGGCGGTGTGTGGCGGGAGGGGACTTCCTTCTGTGCCTGGGTCCCCTTGGCAGCCTCGCTGGCTGAGTCCATGGAGATACCCGAGCCTGAGGCTGCAGCCCAGGCTGGAGAGTTCTGGGACCGTCTGTGTGCTCAGTTAGGGTGCTGGTCCCAGGGAACGGCAGCCAACCCTGGAGCCTCACTGGCCTGTGGGTTTGGGTCTCAGGGCCCAGTGTCCAGAGCCCCAAGTCTGAGCTGGAGAATCCTGGGCATGTTTGTCACTGGAGTTATAACGCGTTGTATGCTTCCTTCTGCAGGCAGCTGCTCTTTCCAGTGATTGTTTCGGCTTGGACAACCGGACCGTGGGATTCTTTTCTTCCTTTTGCCACTAAATGCCTGCGCACAGCCCGAGTTCTGGTGCAGGGAGAAGGGTGGAGCTTTTTGCCTGAGGATGGCCGTTTCCCTTGGCAGGATGAGGGCAGAGTGCGTGACGTCTCCACCACCGGGGTAAGAGCTGCCTTTCCGTGTTGCTTCTGTGTCTGTGTCTGTCAGAGGAGGATGAGCCTTCCAAGGCAGTGACAGTGAAGAGAGGGCTGGGCCTGAAAGGGTCGGGTCGGTCAGAGTTGTGTCTGGCTTCACGTGGATGCCTGTGAGCTGGAATCCAGACACGTCTGCCTCAGTCACACACCAGGAAGTGCTTTGTGTGAGCGGCACAGCCTTTGAGATACCCTGGGTGAGTTCAGATTAAGTTGAAGGAGCCCACGTAAACGTCTGGCCTTCTGGTTCTCCCGGAGCACCCAGTGACGTGTCCCCACGGCCCACCATCCCGACCCAGACGTGGCTGCGTCCTAGGCTCTCCTGTTCCACAAGGTCCTTCAGGAGGCCCCAGCCACTCCTATATTTGATGATGGACTTGTGTGGCCATCGGAAACATCGAATTTTGCCGTGCTTGGCCTAGGTCCTTCTGCTGACTTTTTGATCAAAGAGATGACAGTTTTGGCCACTCCCTTCAGATAAGTGACGGTCTTTCACTAGACAGCATTCAGCGTAGGGGCAGTAGCTGCCGGCAGAAGTAGGTGACCCCTTCTGTGCGGAGCCCAGAGTGAGCGTGAAGACCAGTCATACCGACATCCAGGGAGAAGGGCAGAGCTGCCACATCTTGTGTTAGAGCCGGCACGCAGGAGTGCGCAGGGCTGTGGGAGGCATGGGCTGGTGGGGAGAGAACCACTAAGCCGGCCGAGGTGCCTGCAGGTTCTCCGGGAGCCCTCCCAGCTGTGCTGCTGGTGGCATTTCCCTGTGTCCACGCAGTGTGGCCCAGGGTTAGAGGTTTCTCGTGGGACAAAGTCCATGTCTTCTTGGTCAAAAGCTGTCATTTGTGATTGTTTGCCTTTTACAAACAGGACGGATTTCTGGCTGGTGGCTCACTAAATCACTCAGCCTTCTGAGCAGCCTCTTTGGAGATGAGCTTTGGGAAGTACAGGGATCTCTGGAGTTTCCAGAGAGGAGCAGTCGTGCTAAATAAAGGTCAGACGGGAATGAGACTGCGCTTGCCTGGTTGCTCCAGTTAGGAGAGGGAAGGCAGAGGACCCTCAGAGCTCTTATTTTCAGGCTGAAGTTTTACTTGTGCCTCGTGCCTCCTGTTTTCAAAAGACCCTTTGCATTTGCTATTTTGTGTCCAAGGTGAGCTCAGCCTTTCCTTCTGTGGATCAAGGGTCTTCCTCCTCCAGGGACATGGCCCTGAGAAGAGGCGCTCACAGGCTTTTCGGAGGCCTTGTCTTCTGCTCCGCTGGTTGCTTCCCGTGGCTCACATCGAGGAGGGGCCTGCCGGGTTCAGTCTGTCCCATTCAGCATGTGAAAGCTGGGGCAGTGTTGGGTGTTCTCATGCCCGTGTGCTGCTGTGAGGCACACAGGCCCCTTGGGGAAGCCCTGTGCAGGAGCTCAGGTGCCCAGGCAGTACTGCTCCTGGGGACAAAGCCTCACGTCCAGAAGGCTCTTCGAAGCTTCTTGTGTTCTGCACTCCTACTCTGGGCATGTCTGGGATCGATGCCCATGAACAGCTACTTATTTCTGTTTCGCTGCTGTAAAAAAACACTGATTCATGGAGCCTGGATTCAAGTCCCCAGTACCCCACTTCCCACCCGGCCTGGGTGGAGGAGGGCCTGGGCTTGTCATGCTTGCTGTTCTTCCCCTCATGGGGGTTCTTGTGTGTCTCCCTCCTGGAGCAGGAAGAACTGTGAGGACGGATGTCAGGGAAGACCCTGCTGGATGGGACCATAGTGGCATTAGATTTTCAGTTCTGTTTATGTTTGCATGGTTTTATTTGGTATAGAGTCACACGGAGTTTTTAGTCTTTTCTGTTGCCTAATAGACACCTAGGACTGAGTAATTTGTAAAGAAAAGAGATCTGTTTGATTCACACTCTTGGTGGCTGAAAGTCCACACAGCATGAGGACGTGTGTGTGGAGAGAGCCAGGGGTCGGCTGGCACTTACAGCCTGCTGTCCTGAGACTGACCTGGATGCTGGGAGCTGCCCAGCCCTCCTGGGCGGTGCCACCATGACCTGACCCGTTCCCTCCAGGCCTACCTTTTAGAGGTCCACCACCTCTGCAGGCGCCACTGCCCCAGGGGCCACACTCTAACTCATGGACTCTTGGGACAAAGCACATCTGAGACGTAGCACATGGAGGGTCAGAAATTGAATTTCACCTTGCCTACACTCATAAAAATGCAAACATTTTTTCCTTTGCACTTAATGGAATGAAATGAAACTCAAGGAAATGTTCGGAAAAGATGGCAGTATTAATGTTGAAAATGGCCTTTTTCTTTAATGACATAACTAATTGTGCTTTTGTTTTGACAAGTGGAAGGAAAAAGGAATTTAGGTTTTTATTTACTTTTATGGAATTGATTTTTAAAAATGATTCTGTTCAATAAGAAAAGGCTGGCTTGCATTACTTGCTACTTTTCTGAGCAAAGCAAACAATGTCTGAGTTGTTTGTGTATCGGCTGTGAGAAGACACAGTGGTCTGAGCACAAAGCTGGGAGAGCTGGGAATGTACTGTGAAGAGGAGGATAGGAAAGGCTTTTCGGCTCTGTGTGGAGGCAGGAGGATTGGTGTACTTTTTCTTTGGAGCTTTCGGTAGTATCTTGGATTTCGACCTCCTTTTCCCTCTTTTAATCTGACAAACACCAGGACGCATCACGTGGCCAGGCCCTGTGTGTAGAGTCATCACCGAGAGGGACCAGTCCAGGCTCCTTTAGGCAGAAGGGAGAACAGCTGTGGGTCCTTCTGCAGGGGGGCCAAGTGCCACTGTACCACACAGATGTGCCCTGCCTGAGACCCCACCTGCGCTCACCATGCTAAGACATCACCCCTCAGAAGAGGCAGCAAATCCCCAGACGAAGACGCCAGCCGGTCTCTGCCCCTGCCATTCAAGCAGTAAGCGCACGGTCTGAGCAATAGCGGCAAGTCTGCCATGCAAGCTGGTGACCCAGGGTGAACTCTGCAGTGGGGCGTCTCAGCAGACAGCCCCTTGCTCCCTCTGCCTGCTGGGTCCACACCACCCCAGCTGCTGGTGTGTAAGGTTGAGCAGTGCCGTGTGTGAAGCACATTCTGCAGTGCACGGCCAGCGAAGCCGTTGAGCAGGTTGTTCTGAAGTCATTTTCATAGGGAGGTTTCCGTGTGCAGAAACAGAGAGGGTGATATGTTACATTTGGGGTACCCGGCACCCAGCGCTCACCAGGGTGGGCTCATGGCCATCTTGTGTGAACAGTGAGCTTACTTTTCCCTGTGTTCCTAGACATAGATCCCAGCTGCTGTATAACTTTATCATGCATTTCCAGAGTATAAGGACTCCTTTCAAAGAACATAATGGCAGTCCCATTAGGAAACCAGAAGTTAACAATCCTTTATGTGATTGAGTGTCTAGTTGTTGTTCCAGTGTCCCTGAATGTCAGCATTTGGCTTGATAGAAGCAGTGATTATACCAAGTCCTCACTTTGGTTTTGTTCGCTATTTCTTTGATTTGTCCTGTTTGCTTTCTGACAGTCTGAATTTTGCTGCCTGGATGATCAGGGGTCAGATATTGTAACTCTGATCTATTTGTTAGGAAATTTCTCATCTGGGTTTAATCTGGGCTTTGGCAGCCAACGATAACCATTGCTTAGATCTGTTATTAATAGGGTTTCAAAATGGCCACGTTTTAATTCTCTTACTCCTTTTTCATTCATTAGCTTTTTTCAAGGACAGTTTTATTGAGAAAAGCCCAATAAAATTTTCCTTGTAAAAATGTATAATTCAGTGGTTCTTAGAATATTCATAAGATTTGGCAACCATTTTAATCCAGAGTATTTTTATCACCCCCAAAAGAAGCCGTACTCATTAGCAATCCCCGTTCTCAGCAGGCACGAATCCACTGCCTCCGTGGGTCTGCTTACTATGCATGCTTTATGTACGGCTGGGTGACACAGAATGACACTTCACGATGACAGGTCTTCTATGTCGTCACCCAGAACTAGTCTGTGACCATGGCCCCATAAGACGAGGTTGTAGCTCTCTGGTGTACGTCACTGTAGCGTATGATCTGTGCACGGTGATGAGATTGCCCAGTGATGCGTCCCTCGGAGTGTCCCACTGGGAAGTGGGATTGCATGATAGTGGCCTTTGTCTGGATCTTCATTAGCACAGTGTTTGCAGAGCGGATGCGTGTGGGTCCGCGTGGCCGGGTCATTGCTTTTTATAGCCGAGTATTGCCCATCACGTGAGGGTCTGCTCCTGGTTCGCGCGCTCATCAGTTAGTGGACCTCGGGGCGGTTTCCTCTTTGCCATTCCGAACACAGCTACTGTGAACACTCAGTTCTTGCTTTAGTCTGGACACAGGCTGTAGTTTCTCTTGGTAACGTACCCAGGAGCCCAGTCGGTGGGTCCGCGGGGGAGTGGGCGAAAGACCCCAGGAGCTCAGGGAGTTCCCGGGGTGCTGACCCGCATCTGCGCGGCGGTGACCGGGAGTGGGGTGAGGCCCGCGGGCCTCTGGTCTGACAGCGTGCTCTCGCTCTTACAGGCTCACTTGCCTCTGCGGCCACAAGGTGCCTCCGGGATCCCGAGCTAGAGGAGCCGCTTTCTCGTAAATCACCCCACCTGAGCTATTTTGTTAATAGCAATGAGAAGTGGGCTTTCTGTACTCCAGAGTTCTGCTCCTTTTCTCTTTCTGCCGGTCCTCTGAGTGCCACACCGTCTCCGCTGCTGCCGCTTGTGGGGTCCCAGTCACAGTTTGAGCCCTGCACCCTTGTATGTCAGGATTGTTTTGGCTTCCTGGGTCCCTTGTGTTTCCATATGAATTTTACAAACCAATTGTTGATTTCCGAGAAGAGGATTTTGAATTCGTAGATTAATTTGGGGAGCGTTGTCGTTTTAACAGCAGTGTGTCTTCCAACTCATAACCATAATATGTCATTCCACAGACTTATGTCTTCTTTAACTGCTTTCAGCAGTGTTCTCTAGTTTTTAA